TGGCACCACCTCACAGATCGACCACCTCCCCTCTCCCCCAACCTCTCTACATTTCCTCCGCCACTACGTCTCCCCCAACAAACCCTGCCTCATCTCCGGCGCCGTCGCCCACTGGCCCGCCTCCACTCTCTGGCACTCCACCGATTACCTCCTCTCCTCCCTCTCCTCTTCCTCCGTCTCCCTCCACCTCACCCCGACCGGCCGAGCCGACTCCATTGCCCCCCTCCCCTCCTCCCCCGAATCCCTGTGCTTCGCTTCCGCCCACGTCGAGCGCCTCGCTTTCCCCGACGCTCTCCGGTCGGTCCTTCAATCGGACGGCTGCTCCGCCGTCGCTTACCTCCAGCAACAGAACGATTGCTTCCGTTCGGAGTACGAGGCACTCCGTCCGGACTGCGAATCGCACATTGATTGGGCGTCGGAGGCACTCGGATGCCTGCCGGATGCTATGAATCTGTGGATCGGGAACGATCTGTCGGAGACGTCTTTCCATAAGGACCATTACGAGAATCTCTACGCCGTGATCACGGGGGAGAAGCATTTTCTGCTTCTTCCTCCCACCGACGTCCATAGGATGTATATCAGAGAGTATCCGGCTGCTCAATATCACTATTCCCAGGTTTCAGTTTCTAAAATTCATACATTCTGATTCTATGTTGTGATTCTGATTCTAAAATTCATGAAAAGTATTTTTCTTCCAACCAAACGGACCCTTTGGTTTGGCTTGAAATCCTTGAATTGTATAGGAGAGCAAGGAGTTCTCCTTGGAACTGGAAGAACCAGTTAGGTATGTGCCATGGAGCAGTGTGAATCCATACCCTTCACCTGATATGAAGGAGAAAGAAATAGCAGAGTTCCCTCTATATTTCAATGGGCCTAAGCCATTTGACGTCACAGTAAAGGCTGGGGAAGTTCTTTACTTGTAAGCATTTCATGATTCTTCTCTTTATCATCATATCATTTGAAACAAGTCTCCCTTTCTTGGCTGTTCACCTCTTGACACACACATATAAACATGTTTTCGAAATCATCAAGCCTCTAGTAAAAATTTCGTCACAAGAATTGGTGAAAAAAAATTGATATTAAGGCATACATTCATCTGCTTTGCACCCATTTGACGTGTTTCATCCACGGATGATGAATGGTTGAGTGATGGGTGTAACCGTGGTGGATGAAGAGTGAATGAATGGACGAGGATGAAGTTCCACCCGATCCAAACCTAACCCGTTGCCATTATTGATAATTTCAGATCAACTTCAAATCTCATCCAAAGTGTACTCTATGCTGAGATTTATTGATTATGGTTTTGCATGCTTTGAATTGTGCAGGCCTAGTATGTGGTTCCATCATGTGAGGCAGAGTCCAGACAGAAGAGGACTCACCATTGCACTAAACTACTGTAATGGTTCTTGATTTGTTTTTCTTCATCAAAGAAATTTCCATTCCAATAGTATAGTGGTTTAATTGAAGACATGTGAACTTTGTGTGACAGGGTATGATATGCAGTTTGATGTCAAATATGCCTACTTCAACTTCCTGCAATCTATACCTGCTTCTTCAATACACAAAAACCAAACATCAAGTTGCAGAGTGTGCACAGGATCATGTTCTTGTACACCTGCATGCATTCAATAGATACACAAATCCAACATCTTTGCTTGGTCCTGTCATGGAATGGGCTAACGAGGAGTTTGGCTCGTGAGAGCTCTCCTGATGGGCCGAGGCGGACACACTGGCTGAATGCCAACCTTGTTTACGAATGGGCTCGGGTTGCTTATTGGGCTCAGTTAGCGTGGTGGCCTTCTTGGCAAGCCCACGTGTGTTGCAGGTTCTGCGGGTCAGCCCGTATGGTTTGTGGGCCTACCCATCATTGGCTTTATGCTCATTCGTTCCAACATGCATGGCGGGTCGTTAGTTTTTATTTAATTGATGATAAAAGTTTGTCAAATTTAACTCCAAAAAGTTAAACTGAATGAATAATCTCAGACGGATATAATAAGAGACACTTTGAGAAAAGGTTAATCTTTACTCCGTTTATGAATTGATTCACAATCTCTTACGGAGTACTCATACGATTCTCTTCAAGTAACCACTAGAGTATTTAAGTGGTTATAGTGCCATCTTATTTCATCAAATTATACGATATATCCTAATGTACTTATGTACCTACTTTTTTTGTATATTCAATAGTACTCTCTTGTTCGAATTTTTTACTATTTATGCGCTCAAATTTTCTTTATTTTCATTTCCTATTTTAGTCACTCATTTAATAAAATAATACAATAGTGTCACCATTAGTTTTGTAGATGTTTTGATGTATTTTTAAATATAGAATGTTTATTTTTTAATTCAGCACTATTTTTCATATAAAATTATTTGAAAATAATTTCAGTCAAACATCGTAAACTAAAATAAATGATTTAAATTGGGACGGAGGGAGTAACAATTTTGTAACTTGTGAATTTATATACAGTAATTTTATAACGCGTATGCTCCCCAAGTATGTAAAAACACAACCATATTTTGCAATTTTATTT